CCCCCCCCCTTTTTAACCCCAATAAAATTTCCACCTCCCTCCCTGAAATGTACAAGCCTAAAATGCAGGAGCAGGAACCCTCCTCCCTCACATGAGTTCACTGCAGCAGGGGCAGCCACCCCTCCAGCCTACCCCTTGTCCTAGACCTGGTTGCCTGATACTACCAACACAAAAGACCACTTTGAATGCCACAACCCTAAACAGACAAAAATCTTTATTACGGATCTGTCTCTTATGCAGAAAGTTTAAAAAATCCATAGGGTAACTATAAGGTCTTCTCTCAAGTACAACTGACTCCCCAAGCTGTTTGCTAAATTTTACTAAACAGTTTAAAGCACACATATTTGCAGATAGCCACTTGTAAAGCACATGGACTAGCCAGTCATTTACAGTTGCAAGAAAAAGTATGTGAACCCCTTGGGATTACGTGGAGTTTTGCATGAATTGGGAATAAAATGTGCTCTGAACGTCATCTAAGTCACAACAATAGAAGAACACAGTCTGCTGAACATAATACTACACAAACATTAGATGTTGCCATGGTTTAATTGCACATAACATGTAAACATTCACAGTGCAGGGAGGAAAAAGTATGTAAGGCCCTAGCTTAATGACTTCTCCCAGAACTAATTGAAGCCAGGAGTGAGCCAACCTTGACTCCAATCAGTGTGATGATATTGGATGTGTTGCTGACAGCTGTCCTGCCCCTAAAAAACACACACCTGTTTTTGGGTTTACTGGTTTCAAGAAGTACTGTCTGATGTGAACCATGCCTAGCAGAAAAGAGCTCTCAGAAGACCTACGATCAAGAATTGTTGACTTGCATGAAGCTGGAAAGGGTTACAAAAGTATCTCCAAAAGCCTTGATGTTCCTGTGTCCACGGTAAGACAGACTGTCTACAAATGGAGAAAGTTTAGCACTGTTGCTACTCTCCCTAGGCGTGGTCGTCCTGTAAAAATGACTGCAAGAGCACAGCGCAGAATGCTGCATGAGGTAAAGAAGAATCCCAGAGTGTCAGCTAAAGACCTACAGAAATCTCTGGCACATGCTAACATTTTTGTTGACACATCTACAATAAGGAAACATTAAACAAGAATGGAGTACATGGGAGGACACTACGGAGGAAGCCATTGCTGTCCAAAAAAAATATTGCAGCACGTTTGAAGTTTGCAAAAGAGCAACTGGATGTTCCACAGCACTACTGGCAAAATATACTGTGGACAGATGAAACCAAGATTGAGTTGTTTGGGAAGAACACACAACACTATGTGTGGAGAAAAAAAGGCACAGCACACCAACATCAAAACCTCATCCCCACTGTAAAACATGGCAGAGGGAGCATCATGGTTTGGGGCTGCTTTGCTGCCTCAGGGCCTGGACGGATTGTTGTCATTAATGGGAAAATGAATTCCAGAGTTTATCAAGACATTTTGCAGGAAAACGTACGACCATCTGTCCGCCAACTGAAGCTCCGCAGAGGATGGGTGATGCAACAGGACAATGACCCAAAGCATACAAGTAATTCAACAAAACAATGGCTGCAACAGCACAGAATATGCCTTCTGGAGTGGCCCAGTCAGAGTCCTGACCTCAACCCGATTGAAATGCTGTGGCATGAACTTAAGAGAGCGATTCACACCAGACATCCCAAGAATATTGCTACACTGAAACAGTTTTGTGAAGAGGAGTGGTCCAAAATTACTCCAGATCGTTGTGCAGGTCTGATCTACAACTACAGGAAATGTTTTTGGTTGAGGTTATTGCTGCCAAAGGAGGGTCAACCAGTTATTAAGTCCAAAGGTTCACATACTTTTTCCTCCCTGCACTGTGAATGTTTACATGTCATGTGCAATTAAACCATGGCAACATCTAATGTTTGTGTAGTATTATGTTCAGCAGACTGTGTTCTTCTATTGTTGTGACTTAGATGACGTTCAGAGCACATTTTATGCCCAATTCATGCAAAATTCCACGTAATCCCAAGTGGAACACATACTTTTTCTTGCAACTGTAGATACAGTATGATCTGCTTTACCCTGCCCTACCTATAGGCCAGAAATGATTTTTGCACAATTTGGCCAGTAAGGATCACAACCTTAAAGTATAAGTTCACCTTTGGGAACATGTTACATGTTCCACTTGTTTTTAGGGTGGAACATGTAACATGTTCCCAATCCTGCAGCCGCCACCCGATCCCCCCCCTCCCTGTGACAGTAGTACGAGGAAAAGTTCCACGTACTAGGTGTCACTTTTTAAAAACAGCGCAGCCGTGCAGGGCTCCGCCCACACAGCCACATCATTCATTCACAATGTTCTGTGATTGAATGGACTACAAGTCCTGACAGCCTTAGCAGCTGTAGCTTGTAGTTCTCGGTGAACTACCACCCACAATACAAATGTGCATTTATTATTTTTTGCAGAAAGGTGAACTTATCCTTTAATTGTTTTCCTAAAATAAGGTCAGTGCTGGGGAGGACTGCTCAGTATACACTGCCTTGTTAAAGCTATTGGGACACCCCTCCAAATCATAGGATTCAGGTGTTCCGATCACCTCCATGGCCACAGGTGTATAAAATCATCACCTAGGCATGCAGACTGCTTCTACAAACATTTGTGAAAGAATGGGTCGCTCTCGGGAGCTCAGTGAATTCAAGCATGGTACCGTGATAGCTTGCCACCTGTGCAATAAGTCCATCCGTGACATTTCCTTGCTACTAAATATTCCACGGACAACTGTTAGTGGTATTATAACAAAGTGGAAGCAACTGGGAACATAGAAAAACGGAAGCAACTGGGGATCAGCAGCCACGAAGTGGTAGGCCACATAAAAAAAAATGACAGAGCAGGGTCAGCACATGCTGAAGCTCACAGTGTGCAGAAGATGCCAACTGTCTGCAGAGTCAATAGCTAAAGACCTCCAAATTCATGTGGCCTTCCGATTAGCAAAACAACAGTGTATAGAGAGCTTCACGGAATGGGTTTCCATGGCCGAGCAGCTGCATCCAAGCCTTACTTCACCAAGTGCAATGCAAAGTGTCGGATGCAGTGGTGTAATGCACGCCGCCACTGGACTCTAGAGCAGTGGAGATGTGTTCTCTGGGGTGACGAATCCTGCTTCTCTGTCTGGCAATCTGATGGATGTGTCTGGGTTTGGCGGTTGCCAGGAGAACGATACTTGCCTGACTGCATTGTGCCAAGTGTAAAGTTTAGTTGAGGGGGGATTATGGTGTGGGGTTGTTTTTCAGGGGTTGGGCTTGGCCCCTTAGTTCCAATGAAGAGAATTCTTAAGGTGTCAGCATACCAAGACATTTTGGACAATTCCATGCTCCCAACTTTGTGGGAAGAGTTTGCGGATGGCCCCTTCCTATTCCAACATGACTGCGCACCAGTGCACAAAGCAAGGTCCATAAAGACATGGATGAGTGAGTTTGGGGTGGAGGAACTTGACTGGCCTGCACAGAGTTCTGACCTCAACCCGATAGAACACCTTTGGGATGAATTAGAGCGGAGACTGTGAGGCAGGTCTTGTCGTCCAATATCAGTGTCTGGCCTCACAAATGCACTTCTGGAAGAATGGTCAAACATTCCCATAGACACCCTCCTAAACCTTGTAGACAGCCTTCCCAGAAGAGTTGAAGCTGTTATAGATGGAAAGGGCGGGGCCAACTCAATATTGAACCCTACGGACTAAGACTGGGATGCCAGTACAGTTCATGTGCGTGTAAAGACAGGCGTCCCAATACTTTCGTCAATATAGTGTATATACTATATGACCAAAATGATTAGACACCTGACCATCACACCTACATTACATGGCTAAAAGTATGTGGACCCTCTCCAAATTTTTGAGTTCAGGTGTTTCCAGGTAATGCTAGGCATTTACAAATGTGCATTTCCAACATTGTAGAAACAGTTTAAGGAAGGTAATTTTCTGTTCCAGCATGACTGTACCCCTGTACACCAGCTTCATGAATACATGGTTTGTTGAGTTTGGTGTGAAGGAACTTGAGTGGCCTGCACAGAGCCTATTGTGATAAATTGGAATGAAAATTGCCAGCCAGGTCTTTTCATCCAAAATCAGCATCTATGCTCTGTTGGCTAAATGTGCATGAATTTTCCCCAATGCAATCTTTGAAAAGTCTTTCCAGAGGAGTGGAGGATTATATGGCCACAAAAGAGGGACCAAATTCATATTAACAACCATGGGTTTGAAATGGGCAATGCCCAACAAGCTTATATAGGTGTGATGGTCAGGTGTCCACAAACATATACTGTAAATGTGCGCATTCTGCTGCCGCTGCTACTGGTCACTGAAAGATTTGCAAAGTTTCAATGCCTCTTTCACATGGGAATAGCTATTGACACACGATCCGTGCTGGATCCCTTTGTAAGCAGTGGCTGACCCACAGTGAGCAGGAGACAATATGCAGCCTCCTTCCTGCATGCCTAATTAAGTCACATTTATGCGTTTTTAGTGCATTTGCAGATCCACAGAAATGCATTACAATCCATTTAACCTATTTTCCTATGGGTCCCATTCACATCTATGCAGTTTCCTGCAGTACATTTTTTGGAAAGGTGCAGGGAGATTTTGAAAGAGAACACGGTGTGTTTTTGGCTCCACAGACTTCAATACAATTGCATCAAAAACGCACCAAAAACACATGTACATGCGTTTTTGGTGTGTTTCCTGCATGACAACAGACACCTCCTCCTAGCAACAGCAACACTTCCCAAAAAAAGCAAAATGCAGAAATGAAGCAAAAGCATGCATAAAAAGCAAAACGCTCCATAAAAACGCATCAACTGCATATGCATAGATGTGAACCTAGCCTAAAAAGGGAATTCATACTGAAATCCTTCTCCACAGTGCTGCAATCACATCCATTAGACACGGCTGGAATGTGGCTCCATTCACTTTTATGGGGCGCAGTGGCGTATAGGATAGCCTGCTGAACACAATATGCTCTACTTGTTTGCCATGACGCAAAGCACAGCACAGGGGCGGACTGACCATTCGAGCTCTCGAGCACTGCCCGAGGGCCTGGGGTCAGTAGGGGGCACCATGAAATGCCCCTGGTACCTTTTTTATAGGCTTTTTTGAGTGTGGGCAAGGACACAGGGGCCCCATGATCCCCTATTGCCCGGGGGCCCCATGAGTTGTCAGTCCGCCCCTGGAACAGCATTGCAGCTGTGACAATGTGGATGGAGCTGTCCTTGCACATTTCGCCAGGTTTTGACAGGTGGTTAAAGCATGTTAATATTGTCAATATTCCCATCACACACGTTCCTGGAACAGGCTTGGAAGTAGCGGGTGCTGCAGCAACTGCCAGCTGGAGACTGGAGACATCACAGATTAATGAATATATTCACCAGCACACCATGGATCCTTTATTATCATCCGAACGATTCAGTGAAGAATGATCATATTGCAAAAGACAGAGTATGACTTTTTTCAGGCATGTGATGAAGCTCGTTAATAACACCTCCTGAATTTACCACACTGACATGCCCATGTGAAAGTGCCTAACTGCTGGCTTTTAGCTGCTGGAGGGAAAGACACAGACATTGGCGGATCTAGGGGGGTGCTGGGGTGCCCCCTATCTACACCAAAGGCTGCTCATCTCCCAGCAGCAGGAAACTGTGTGTACAGGCCAATGAGATCTAGGGTCTATCCCGTCTCATGTGCTGTATGGACGAATGCTGTTCTGACAGGAGGGGAGAGCACAACACAGCGCACCTCCTCCCAGCTTTGTAGTGGAGTCCCCCTGTAAGTTGGGGGTGGCAGGGGGAAGGTTTTGAGCTTACAGGCAAATTGTACATAATAAGGGAGGGGGGGTAAAATTTTGTGCTGGGGATGTTTGTGGAGGAGGAATGGACAGCAATCTGTGTTGGAAACTGAAACGGGGATTTGGGGGATGGAGGATATGTGCTAAGAGGAGAAATATGGGGGAGGGGGAGATATGTGCTAGGAGCACGGTTTGGGGGGATTTGATCCAGGAGGGGGTATTTGGTGGGACTTTTGTACTAGGATGGGGCAGCTGGATTTGTGCTGGGAGGGGGGGATTTGGGTAGGGAGGAAGAATTTGTGCTAGGAAGGGTCATTTGGAGGGGGTTGTACTAGGACGAGGGATTTGGGGTATTTGATCTGGAAGGGGATTGGAGAAATGAGATTTTTGCTGGGAGGGGGATTGGGGGGGATTTTATGCCAGGAGGATGTGGGGGAATTTGGGCTAATAGGAGAGATTGGAGGGATTTATGCTAGGACGTGGGATGGGGGGGGATTTGGGCTAGGAGGAGGGATTGGGGGAATTTGTGATGGAAGGGGGGATTTTGGGGAGAAGTTTGTGCTAGGATAGAAAATTTAAGAAGAAGGGGGATGTGTGCTAGGTGGGTGATTTTTTTGGGGGTGAGGGAGATTTGTGCTTGGAGGAGGAATTGGGGTGAGATTTGTGCTAGGAGGCGAGATTGGGGGAAGAGGGGCAAATATTTATGCTGGAAGGAGCGATCTGAACTGAAAGGAAGGGGATATTTATATTTTTGTTTGGAGTGAGTGTGCTGATTGATTAGTGCAGTTTTGTTTTGTTTTTTTGACGAGGAGGGATTTATGCTGAGAAAGGATGCTCACACTTGAAGGGGGGGTGCAGTTTGTCATCTTCACCCTGGGTGCTAGATGTCCTTGTCCCGGCTTTGCCCGTACTACATACACAGGGCACTCAACAGATCTCCTCCTCCCCACACAGCACATTGGTGAGATCGGATTCCCTTACAGACACAGCCTCAATCTGCATAGTGTATAGCTAGCTGCTATGCTGCTGAGTTGAAGTTCTGATCTGTGAAATTCCAAGATCGGATTGGCAGCACAGCTGCAGTAGCCATCTGCACACAGAGTCTTTGTCTGTAAGGGAATCCTATCTCAGCTATGTTCTGTGTGGGGAGGAATAAATCTGCCCAGGCTGTGTGTAGTGCGGGGATGGGAGGAGGAGCTCTGCTGGGTTCTCTGCCACCAGTAACCCTGTTCTTTTCTCTGCTGACCCCTGTACACTGTCCTACTAACTTCTGTCCTCTACTCCCCTGACCCCTGTACACTTTCCTTCTGAGCGCTGTCCCTGCCTTACTGACTCACTTTCTTCTGTCCTGCTGACCCCCGTTACTTTGCCCCGTTGACCATTGTCTTTTGCTCTGATAACTCCTGTTCTCCATCCTGCTGACCCCTATCCTCTGCCCTACAGACCCTTTATACACTGCCCTGCTGACCCCTGTCTCCTTTCCTACTGACTGCTTGTGCATTGCCCTACTGACCCTTGTACACTCCTCTGCTGACCCCCTGCGCACTGCCCTGCTGCCCCCTGTCCACTGCCCTGCTAACCCCTGTACACTGCCCTACAAATGAATGCTTTGAACATCTCACAGAGCACTGTTCAATCCATCATCCAAAAATGGAAACAGTATGGTACAACTGCAAACCTATCAAGACATGGCCATCCACCTAAACTGACAGGCCGGGCAAGGAGAGCATTAATCAGAGAAGCAGCCAAGAGGCCCATGATAACTCTGGAGGAGCTGCAAAGATCCAAAGATCAGGTGGGAGAATCTGTCCACAGGACAACTATTAGTCATGCACTCCACAGATCTGGCCTTAATGGAAGAGTAGCAAGATGAATGCCATTGTTGAAAGAAAGCCATAAGAAGTCCTGTTTGCAGCATGTGAGAAGCCATGCGGCGGACAAACTTGGGGAAGAAGGTGCTCTGGTCAGATGAGACTAAAATTTAACTTTTTGGCCTAAAATCAAAATGCTATGTGTGGCAGCAAACTAACACTGCACAACACTCTGAACACACCTTCCCCACCGTGAAACATGGTGGTGGCAGCATGATGTTGTGGGGATGCTTTTCTTCAGCAGGGACGGGGTAGCTGGTCAGAGTTGATGGGAGGATGGATGAGCCACATACAGGGCAATCTTAGAAGAAAACCTGTTAGAGTCTGCAAATAACCTGAGACTGGGGCGGAGGTTAACCTTACAGCAGAACAACGACCCTAAACATACAGCCAGAGCCAGGGGCGGACTGACCATTTGGAAACTCGGGCACTGCCCGAGGGCCTGCGGTCAGTAGGGGGCCCCATGAGATGCCCCTGCTACCTTTTTCATAGGCTTTTTTGAGTTTGGGCAAGGACACAGGGGCCCCATGATCCCCTATTGCCCGGGCGCCCCTGGCCAGAGCTACAATGGAATGGTTTAGATCAAAGCATATTCATGTGTTAGAATAGCCCAATCAAAGTCCAGACCTAAATCCAATTGAGACTCTGTGGCATGACTTGAAAATTGCTGTTCAAAGATGCTCTCCATCCAATCTGACAGAACTTGAACCATTTTAATATGTGCTATTTTGTGTTGGTCTATCACATAAAATCCCAATAAAAAACGTTTATGTTTTTAGTTGTAACATGACAAAATGTGGAACATTTCAAGGGGTATGAATACTTTTTCAAGACACTGTAGCTATATATTTGCAGTGTGAGATCAAAGGCACTGCTGCCTCTGACAGTCTCGGGAGATCTGGAGTGTGATTTGGTGATGTCAGGCATTGTATATTTGAATTATAAATATATTAGATTGTAAGCTCTCATGGACTGGACTCTCCATCCCTCTTGTATTGAATTGTATTGTAACTGTACTGTCTCTCTTTATATTGTATAAGAGATGCACAAACTGCCATTTCTATATAACTCCTGTATAATAATATCAATAACAATGACGAGTTCTTTGACACCTGCCATGGAAATGGACTGTTCAGAAGGAGAGCACATAAGACTGGATGTGCAGAGTCGGCCCAGGTGCCTGTCCTGATCTTATGAATGTTTTATACTCCAGATCAATGGGCGCTCTATTTTTAGCCAGGCAGAGGTGTCGGCTGTGTCTGGTTGTTTGTTTGTCGGGTTTGTGAACTGTGAAAATGGACATCATTATTTCAGATTGTTTACAAGATCTTCAAAACTTCCCTTGTCAGAAATCTCCCTCAATCCCGCGGTCAGCACAAGTTAAAAAACACTTTGAAATGATCATAAGGCGCACTCAGGGACAATATGACAGGGAAACAGCATGTGATTTATATTTCATAAACTAATGAAGGATGATGGTGTGATAATAATAGACTGCGCTAATAATTTACAGCATTACACATTACCTTTCTTGTATAAATAAAGTGGGCATGTCAGCCAAAGGACTTGTTCGCACTAGTGAATAAGCTTTTCTTTTGCAGCTATGTCAAGAATTATTCCCCTTGTCACTATCTGTGGGCATATTCAAGTGTATGTGGGGCTGGTCTGCAAAGTTGTCGCAGTTGTAGCCTGCTAGTGCGGCGTTCAAGGTGTTAAAGCAATTGTCAAATGCTCTCTGAAGAGCGATCTGAGCATGGATCAATTCTCAGAGACCAAAGCAAGTGTGAGCAAGTGTGAACAAGCCCATTAAAGAGCACGGTCAATCATTACATTAGCTAAAACAAGATTTAGATAATATTTAGACAAATGAATGTGTGCCCATTTATGTATTGTTTTTAGGGGTGGGTGTTTCAGTATTACTGCACTATTACCGTTTCCTTTTTTTTTTGTAATTTAAATTTTTATTTGATTTTCCAGTATAAAAAGAACAACAGCACATTTACAAAAATATTTCACATATACACATTTCCATTTACTCCAATATTACCCCCAACCCATTTTCCCCATCCACCTCCTCTTTCCTAAAATATATTCATTCTCTCTCTCTCTCTCTCTCTCTCTCTCTCTCTCTCTCTCTCTCTCTCTCTCTCTCTCTCTCTCTCTTTTTTTCTAAGCTTCCCCCTCAGTTCCAACCAGTTCCATATATCTTTCAGAAGTTTTAAATTTCAACCAACTACACCACGTTTTCTTGAATTTTTCCTTTTTATCTTCCTCCATGTGACATAGCTCCTCCATCCTATAGATATTTTCAACTCTATTTATTAATTTGTTAATTCTTGGTGCTTCAGGAACCTGCCAGAACTTGAGAATCAAACCCTTAGCTGCACTAATTAAGGGCTCATGTACACTGCAGCTGCTAAACTGACGTTCAGGAGCTGTTCAGCGTTTTTTTTTTTTTTCAGCAGCCCCTGAACTCTCCCTAATGGTTTTCTATGTGTCCATGTACACATCGTCGTTTACAGTCATTTACTGGCAGTTGAGTTTACAGTTGTTTTTTTGAACACACCAAAATTGCATTCAGGAGTAGATTTTACCGGCGATTCATACGTTTGTAAACG